ACCTTCCACGGGTCTGCTAGCGAAATCGTAATGGCACCACGAAAGGCCTTTTTCTCGCAAAAGTTTTTACAGACTCGCAGGATGATCCTAAGGGCTCTCAGAGCCAGGTTTCTAGTGCTTGTCTGGAGCTTGGTACTGCCTCGTAAATTGTTTGTTTGAATCCCGTCATTTTCTCTTTTAATCTTGGCAAGCATGACAGCAAGGGTTGACCAAAGTTGTCGGGGGTGGCATTCACAAGGCCAACGTTGGGCACGGAAGCTAAGCGCCGAAATGCAACGGACAGCAGAACTTCAGCTCGCTGACCACGCAATCAGAAGTTGTCCTGGAAGCCTTAGGAAACCTTAAAGCCCAAAATGCAAACGATATCAGTATTGGAGAGGATGGGCGGATGCTCTTGAATGACGATGGCATCATCCATGTGGACCAGGTCGTCGTGGCTATCGTTGGGCCCTGAGTGCTGTAGCTGTGGTAATGGCGGCTGTATGGCAGTAGAACTGTAGCAGCCGTGTGCCAGCAGTCCTACACGTAGTAGCCTAGTGGCTACCGAGCAATTGTAGTAAGAGCAGCAGGAGGGGCAGTAGTTGTCGCATTCTCGTGATTACTGGCTCGGTACTGGTAGTGGTAGCAGTTGCAGTGATTACAGCAGCAAAGAGGAACTGAAATGAAGGAGGAACAGCAGTTGCGGCAAGAGTATTTAGTCTACGAGCGATTTGTCAACTCAGTCTGTCCCGGAACTAGAGCAGGATAGTGACACTGTTGGGTTGGAGATCCGCTTTGTGGAAGGATGTGCAGATATTTTGGCAAAAACGTGGTACTTCAACGAGACTAGGAAGGTCTTGCAGTGTTATCTGCGCACGCAAGAAAGACAGGGCATCACTTAAGGGTTACGTCCTCAGCCAATGCAAGAAGTGAGATAAGTAAGAGCAATGGCTCGCGCAAGGAAGCTAGAATTGATGTTTCTCTTCAATTCCGATTGCGACTCAGTTGGAGACTTCCAGTGGAGCCCCAACACCTAATTACTTTGGATGCGTGGGAGGCAGTTCCGCATATCCCCGTCTGATCCAGAAGATATAAGGCAATAGGAGGTTGTGTGTGAGTTGTAGAAGGATGCCATGCATTGTCATGCAGACTACCATCTTATCGACCCACCTCTAAAAAGCATCTACCGTTTACTCTATGCCCTATAGATGCATTCGCCAGGCTACAAGCGAGAGACAATGCATGCCTTTTGCTGAATGCCACGGCGGCGTGCTCAAGGCCATGCTGGGCCTGGGAATTATCCTTCAGGGAAACGGGCAAATAGCTCTACAGTATAGTAACAGAGAGTCCTCGCGCAAGCATGCACAGTGCACACTGCTGGGCTGAATCTTTACTTGCCAGACGGGGTATCACGAACTTGGGGTTCAAGCATCTGATCGTGATCTTGCCACAACTGTGAGCCGCGATCCTCGCGATTGATGAATTTTAGGGCCTTCGATCTTCTTAGGTATCCTACCGACGCCGACATTATCTTGAAGTGAAGACAGGGGCCCAGATTTTGACCCAGAAAGGGAGAGTTTTTCCATGCAGTTCCCTTTCAGGCACAAGTCGCAAACAAAGCTTATGCCCACCCGTTTCGCACACGTCTCTACACAAGCATGCGACATCCTTGGTGTTTTTGCATGAACTTCCACTGCCGTCTGGTTGGAATACGCCCGCTGCTGCTCACTGTCACAATTACTGCCCTATGCGGGGGGCCCTCATGTTGGTGATATTGTAGGTACATCCTGCTAAGTTAAGGCAAGTCGACATTGAAAACTCATTGCAGCAAGCATCGTAAGATTTGCTGGTGCCTGTAGGCCTTTTTTGCAAGCAACATCTCGCACGTCTTGCAGGAGTGGAGGTTCCAGTTTCTGCACGCGCGCGTGGGCCCCGGCTGTTTCGAATAACAATAAGCCTCAAGTTGCGCGTCCTTCGGGCGACTTCGAGTGAGCATCAGCGTGTTCTGCAAGGGAATGCCTAGAACCGGACGCTTGAATCATATTGCAGGACCCAGTAGCCAGCGATTTTCAGAAAAGAAGGGTCACTGTCAATGTGAGCGGCAACATGATCTGGCTAGGCTGTCAGGACGAATCGTGCGCAAACCTGAACTGCATGGACTTTTGCCCTATGTAAACATTAGACGACCCCTGGAGAGTGGCCCATCATTGCAAGAACCCACTACATTCTGAAATCTTTCGACATTCCCTCGTGATCCTTGCATAATCAAACCCCAAAAACACACATAATGTTGAGAAGTTCCCGCACCTTCATGCGCAGGCGTTGACCCTGACCTGCAAATCCTAAGTTCCTGACCCTCAACCTTGAAGTCGTAACCTTTAACTCTAGCCCCCAGTCCTATGTAATCTCATTATGAAGCCCATGGCTGCTATGACTCGTAAAAACGGACTGTGAAAAGCAATTGCCTCTGTAGGGCAAAAGCTGCAAAGGTTCCCAGCGTTTGAAGAGGGAGAGCGAGACGGCAGCCAAGGTCTGGGTGGGTTGAGTCCAGGATTTGGGATTTTCCCAAAATTAATACCTTTGTGTGGTCCTTAGACTAAGTATTTTGGGTGATGGGGATCCCCCTGGTCAGGCAAACTACCATTTCCAGTTGAATGTTTTGGGCTTAGGGATTGAGGGGTTAGGTTAGGGCTTGGGGAATTTACGTGAGGTAGGGTTTTACAGTTCTATTCGGTGAGTGCATTCAGGCCTCCTTCAGAGAAGTGCTGGGAGTACACGTGGGTTGCCCTTTGGGCTGGGTGGGACATGTGAATCCTAGTTTATCTGGACCTTAGTGGTTGAAGTGTGTGGGGGTTGTTAGTCTTGGGGGCTTAAGCAATAGGAATTACGGTGCATAGCGGATGGGCACAGGTGCGGAGGGTCTCTCGACAATGATACAAGGGCGTCACATTATGAGTTTTACATTGATGCTCAGTTTTGGACGGTTCGGAGTGCACGTGGATTTGTCAGCGGTGTGCGGTCCTGCTTGGGCCCTTACACTGAGGATTCAAGGGTTCTAAAGGTGGACCCTGAGTTGAAGAAGGACAGGTCACTGCGAGACCCTCAGAGTTAATTAAGCATATGTCAGGCTTGAGTTTTTTCATGTGCCGTGTAGACCCTGAAAGGACGGTTTAGATTCTGGAGCTTACTTTCCCAAACATATATCATCCCACATGGGCCCTGTCTGGACAGACAGCAATCCTTGCATGTTTCTTTGGCGTAGCGTGTGCCTTGACAAGGAATGACAGGATCCCCATTAATCTACAGATCTGTATATGTACCCTGATGCAGTCCCAGGTCGTAATTCACGCCCTGGAAAACTTAAAATCTTTCATTAACTTAGGTTGTAGACCAACCAGAAACCGTAGTTCGTTTGGGCTGGTGCTATGCAGGAAAGCAGAAAGGGAGAAGTGCTTCTTCTCCATCAGCCAGGCATGGACAGGCCAGGCACCCTTACTGCCAAACCCTCCAATCCGGCAAGTCCTCAACCCCTCGACCCAAAGCCCCTAAACCCATGTGGAGGTACACAGTTTGAGGTGTGAGACCTCAGGGATCATGGCGTCGGCTCATGGATGTGTTCATGTTGAACCTCTGCTCAGGGATTGTTGCTCCCCGAAACTTACCTGGAACCTTGGAAAGCCCCTGTTTTAAGGGCCGTGGTCTTTACAGTCCGTTTGCGGTTTCATGTTAGCTTGGGAGAGAGTGGCCGCTTTACCCCTTCCGCCTTTCACTTGATTGGCTCCCCATTCTCGCGGCTTGCATTGGCTGTTGTGATCGCTGCCAACACTTATGGTTTGCGAGTCTCGTTGTCAGCTCATGGTTCCCTATGTTGCGTCCCATGCAGGCAGTGGTTTCTATCCAAGACAGTGGAGGAAACGCGGAGGAGGAGCCTTTCTTGGCGTTGCTATAGGCATGGTCGTAGGAACTGAGCGACTGGCTGAAATTATGTGCGCCATGAAGCAAGATGTTATGCTTGAAGGTGGCACTATGAACTACCTGTTGCAACTCTGGTTTGCAATACCCTGAAGCCTCATTTTGATTGAGTACGTCATGCGTTGGAATCGTGGATCTGGCTGTTTGGCTCAGGTTGGAGGACATTTAGCACCCTAAGCCTTATGGACCCTCTATCCTTTTTGGATAGTATGCATACCACCTGAACCCGGATAGATACAAAGAAGCATGCTTTTTGCTTGTAAAGTTGCGCATATGATGGAACCATGTGCAAATGGCAATTCGCCATGCATGAGAAACCTGAAGGACCTCATCCGACAAAAAACAAACGGCCAGTAAATTATAGTTATATCTGTAGAGAGCCATCTTATTCCCTATTATATCCCCTATATATATATATATATAGTCCCCCTTAAGTAGATAGAATATGGCTTTGGGTATATTATAGTAGATCCCCACATACCCCATATTCTATCAGGGGGACTATACCCTATTATACTGTAGTAGCTTCCATTTTGTTTTCCATTACCCCTATAAACCCTAACCCTAAACCCTATTATACTGTAGTAGTTTCCGTTATGTTTTCCATTACCCCTATAATCTCATTCGTAGCTACGCAGGCTCCTGTAGCGCGCAAGAACCTGAGCTGCCCATGGGACCCCAGAAGCCGGCAACGCTCTCGGCCTGCCTCGCGCACGCAGGAGTTCCTTACTGGTAGTTAGTAGGGAATAAGAGAATAGATATATCATATACATATATGTATATATATATATATATACATGTGTGTTTTTTATCATATTCTTATATACACATATATATATATACATATGTACATTTAGAGTTTAGGGCTTGTAGGGTTGGTAGGGAATAAGGGAATATATTGGTGTAGTATAGGGGTAATGGAAAAGAACATGGAAACTACTACAGTAGAATAGGGTCTTTATTGGAGATGTTGTGGGGAAGAAGGGACCATACTCCTTAAGTGATCCCTACATAATACACTCCTTTATTCCCTGCTAATCCCCAGTAAGGTTCCGAAGCAGTTGGAAGCCGCCCTGGCCGAACGGACCATCGCGGAGGTTCGTAGAATTGCCAAGGCGTCCTGGGCCGATTAGTAGGCAATTACATAAAACAGGTATAGGGGTATATACCCCCTATAGTACTAGCCCCTAAATAGGGAATAAAGAGGGCCGTAAGCTTGCGGTACCCATGATGGGAGTACATGGGGTTACATGTGGATATATAAGGTACATGAGAGTGCAGCTTTGGTTGTGGGGCTTACATGTCGTATAGTTTGTAGTGTACAGTGTGTCATGTACTGTAGGGTTTCAGGATTGGGGCGTAGAAAGCGGGCTCAGGGCTACAAATCATGAGAATAAATTTTCTTCAGCTTCACATTCTTCTGGAAGTGAGGCTAGTGATTTCTCCACTGGTACCTCTCATCTTTAAGTGCTTTCCTCAAACTCTGTTGTTGGCCAAGGGCTTGCGGCTCACCGGCAACTTGCATACTTATCCTCACGAGAACCTACCATCCACAAGTACTCCACAGCAACCCTAGGTACGCCCACCCAAAATATCGAAAAAAAAATCAATTGCTAGGCCCAGAACCATATATGAGTCCAAACTCCCAAGCCGGGAATCTTGACCCGAAACTCTACACCACAAATCCCTCAACCCTCCGGGGCGGGATTAGGGGGTACCCTTCCGTCATCTTCAGTCTATAAGAGTCCGTTCGTCTTCCATTTTGATCCTTACAAGGGGACCTTACTTAGAGCGCCTGTAATATCCCCCAGGCCCCTAACCCTGCTCCCCAAACCCTTGAGTAGAGGCTGGCCTGGCAGACCCAAAAGCGGCAGAGCTCTCGGAGGTGATCCATTTATTTATCATTACTATATTACAGTAGCAACATGGTAATAGTATAGCAGTGTGTGCTTAGGGTTTGGGAATGTTGACTTAAGGGTTCCGGATTTGAGTGGGGCGTATAGAGTTTAGGATTCGGGGTACAATGTTTAGGCCCTCGTGTTCAGAATGCGAGGTTGAGGGGTAGGACCCCAGTAAGGATTCAGAGTTCAATGTTGCGGGTTTAGGAATTGACGCTTGGTGCAGAATCTGCTGCCCGTAGGGCAAGGGGGTAGTCCAAGGACAGTGCAACGAACTTTTTGGTGTATCTGGATTCCAGCATGTCAAGTAATGACTTGTCGAAAGTAGACCGGAAGAGCTATTTTGCAAATCACACAGCTTGTAGTTTCTGGTGCCTTCAATTCTAGTTCCGAAGACTGGCGTGAAGGGGTGTTGACCATTTGGGTTCAGGGCTTCGGGATGTTAAGGTTTGACTTGAGGTGCAGGGTTTCGAGCTTCAAGTTGGTTGAAGGATTTTGGAGAGGTGCAGAACTTAAGTTTTTTGGGCATTCATACATGACAGATCCCACGAACAGCTCGGGTCTCACAGTGGGGGCTGGAAGGGTTACCCAATGTCACCCATGCAATCACGCCATGCCTTCAGTTCAGATGTCAGGCCAATTGTGAATAAGTTTTGCGGTTGATTGGGAGGCATTGGGAGTGCAGCGGCTGTGGACGTAAGGGGCCCCTAAACCGAAGTAGGAAATGGAGCCGACCTTGCAGGCGGTGAAGTATTTTACTGCATAGCAGACTTGTGGTAGGAAAAAAAATTGTGAATAATGGAAAGATCGGGGCACGGACTCAACAATCAAGATTCCAGGAAGGTCTTTCGGCTTCCCGAGGTTCGAATTGAATCCATGAGAGACTTATACCAATTAAGAAGTCCGTATGGTGAAGAATTTCCAGGATCTCAGGACTTACTATTTTTCCCATTCCCTGTACTGCGAATGACTGTAGACACCGAAGCTGCCCTAGAAATGTGGTATACACAGATACTTGCACATGCACACTCTTGAGGAGTTCTCATGTTCGCCATAGAAAGAACTAAAGGAAATCACCCTTCCTAAAGCCTATAATCCCCTGAACCCTAAACCCTGTAATCCCCAAACCTCTAAGTGCTTCTACGCCCTGCATGGGCATTTTGGCAGGTGCAGCGACTCCTCGAGCTACTCCGGCCCATTGTGGATCTACTCAGGCAGTGCCTTGCCTGCCATTCTTCGAGGGGGGTGGATTTCAGGGTTTTGGCGTTTCTTTAAGCAGCTTAACATTTTAGGGCTTGGGTTTTTAAGGTCGAGGACTTTGGGGGTTCAGGGTTTCCGTCTTAGGGAGTCCAAGCGGTTCTGGGATTAGGAAGGAGGAGCGCCAGGAGGATGAGTGGTGAATCGAGGAGGACTAGCCATCTTAGTCGGAGTAAGGTCATGTTTCGGTGGTGCTTCTAGGGGAACCCATTGTTCTGGCGTGGTTTCTTAACTAGTCGTTCATTTACATCCCATGCGGACATACAACCTTTTTACTTAGGTGGTGTGTCGCTCTCAGCAACACAGAGGTTATGGAGTCCTCAGTGTTCCATGCCTGAGACAGGTGCGCACCAGAGTTCGTTGACGTGCCGAAGCCAGGACGCCAGCTCTTCTGGCGACATGCAGCTTCTGTCGCACTTGGGCGCACCCAGGCCGGTGTGGCCTACAAGCAGTGGCTGCAGTCGGAGACCATTCTGGCCGCTGTTGAAGATGAGTTGGACGCAGAGCTGCAACTGCAGGAGGACCTGCATGAAGCCTGCACGGAACATGCTGGCGGAATCAAGCGCGACCCAGAGGCCGCCGAAGATGAGCCGGAGGCCAAGCGACGGTGCACAGCATCCAGCGCCTCCAGCGCCTCCAGCGCCAGCACTTCCTCAAGCTGCGTCCCGCCGCTTGATGCAGCGACCTTGCGCCGAATGGAGGAGATGAAGGCTTTGCAGCGCCAGTGTGACTTAGATCTGGTCGCCTTGAGGGCTCAGCAGCTGGGAGAGTTTGAGCGATTTGTCCAGCAGCAGGAGGAGAAGATGGCCCAAGCAAAGGCAAGGTTCCAACGGAATCAAACAGAGCAACTACTGACCATAGAAAAGCAGAATGTGCAACACATTGCAGAACTTCGATCCAAGCATTTGAAGGAGATCTTTGCTCCTTGCTTGTGGATCTCTGCTGCTGATGGCCAAGACTGGCATGGATTCTACATGCTCAGCACCCAAGACTCGACAGACGTTGCCCCTGTTTACTGCAAATACGGCTCCGACAAGCCTTTCCTTTTCGCCTCGGGAGCTCAATGGTGGTTCAGTAGCAGGCAAAACATGCTTGCATCCGCACCATGCGGATTTGTACATAGCACGTGCGCAGGCCATGCAGCACCAAATGTCATTGACGCAAGTGGCTGGAAGATGTTGGGCCCAGACAGGACGTGGCATGCTACGGACCTGAGATTGGTGGAGGTGCGGTCCCCTGTCGAGTTTGTGGTGGTGTCCCTGGCTGGCGAGGAGATCCTTCGCAAGGCCTGCTCGCTGGAAGAGACAGTGGGGCAACTCAGGAAGGATCTGCAGGAGCCAAGCCGGCGACACCAGACGGTGCTGCTTTGCCTCAATGACAACAGGCTCCGGAAGTCCACACCACTGGGTTGCCTCAATGTAAAACCAGGAGAGCCGCTGCAGGCAGTCTTCATGCTCCGGAAGTGCTTGGCTTGCAAGAACCCCATCGACGGGCCCCCGTCGCGCTGCGGCAGCTGTGGCAAGTGCCACTGCCGTCCATGCAGCCGCAGACTTACGCGGTGCTGGCGATGTGGCAAGCGTGTCTGCCGCAACTGCGCAGCCGAGGTGGGTATATGGTTCTTCATGGGTATGTGTCCCAGGTGTGCTCAGCCACCAATTGCGTGACTGCACCAAGTGCTGATGCGCACCCAGAGACGAGATCTAGGTGGATGCTAAGCCGACGCGAAGCAACGCGGGCTCAATGCAGCCTGTGCTGAAAAGTCCCTAGCCAGGTTATAGGTTCCAGCATGTGCCAGCCACCTTTATTAGTTGTTTTGAGGCAGTCACTTAAAGGCCTTCAAGCACCGAGATTCTTTGCAGGTTTGTTCACTGTCTTCAAACTTCTGCTAGCAACGTTTCTTTTAATGTATGGAGTTTCCTGACCTTGTCTTCCTTGCTGCAGCCACCTGACGTGTTCTGGTCTGCTAAGGATCCGAATAACTAGGAGCACAGCACAACTTACCATGAAAGGCCTGGTGAGTACAGAGTACAGCTACGTGCAGGATGCCCATGCCAGTCGCTATCGCAGAGCCCATGCTCTGAGCCGTTTCATGAGGCTTTCCAAATCTGTCTGGGTACTTGTTCTACCAAGTATGACATTGAATGCTACTCCAGAAGTCTTAACTCGCAGTATTGCAATTGCTTCTCTTCGAGCTGATGTGAACAGCGGCAATTCGAATCCATGGCCGTGCTGCCACGAGAAATTACGCAATGACGGTGCTATTGCCTTTCTTTCCTAGATGCGTCAGGTCCCAACTGCACTTGAACTTGCAGGGTTTCTGGAATTCAGAACTTCGGGCGTTGAAGACTTCAGCATTCGTGCTCCTCGGAAATCGTTTAGATGGAAATGAAGGAGGACAGGAATTGTAAGTGGGGCATTGTAGTGCACGATTTGCCAGACTTTGTATTGTAAGTTTCGATTTTCGCTGCGGCCATAGGCTGTCCCACCCGCAGGACAGCTGAAGCTGGCGTCTCCTCACTTCAGGCCGGTGCCAGCATCAGCTCTGGTAGGGTGGGCATATGAGCTAGAGTCTTCAAGGGGTTATATGAGGGATTATATAGGGGAGTATTATATGGGTTATTGAGGGGGATACTAGGAGTTTAGACTACAGGAAACTTGAGGTGTGTTAGCTTTCAGGTTTACCAGATACTTGGTACGTCGCCTTTTCTGTTGAAGTCTTACCTTGCAAGGCCTTGGCATAGAATAAGTGACGTATGCACGCATCTCCACGAAGATGCTATAGCTGTCAAGAAGGAGCATTTATCACTTGGGGAAACCCCAAATCAGCTCTGAAGATGTTCTATGTTGGAGTAAGCACGGGCCCATTGGGCTTCAAAAAGGATCTACATTGCGGGAGGACATATTGGGCTGCCTCAAGAGATCGAAATTAAAGCATATGGCAATGTCCAGGACGTGGGGCCCTTATAAATAGGGCGGCGCAGAGTTTCTTCTTTCGATTAGGGGTATATGGGGGTTATATTAGGGTTATATTAGGGTTATATTAAGGTTATATTCGGGTTATATTAGGGGTTATATTAGGGGTTATATTCATGTTCCTTGCCCTTGGGAGGGCTGAAGGGGGGGTTCAGGAGATAAGGCCTGGCTCACACGTCGGCAAAGCGGACCTATTGGGGTTTCTCAAAAACAGGATACCGTGGGACCTCAAGCATAAGATGGACTTGTAGATTTTTGCATATTTTTGCGGTCCGGTCCCTCATGGGATCTCATAGGATTACCTATAGAGTTTGTCTCAAGAAACTCCCCGTGGGGAGGGGCCCCCTCCCCACGTAATATGCACGGTCAAGCTCTTGATCCCCACTGATTAGAGCATGATTTCAATGATGGTGATGCTGAAAATCATGCAGGTCATATTGATGAAAGTGGTGACTGATACTGCCATCATAGTTTTTTTGTGAACCATCTGCGGAGGGCCCGCAGAGCCATTAGCGAGGGTTGTGGTCTTTGTCGTTGTGGTTGTGGTTGCGGCGGCGGCGGCGGCGGCAGTA